AAACGACAGCTCGGTCTCCAGCAGCTGGGCGTCCTTGGAGGAGCCACAATTGGGGCAGGCAAACTCAGATCCTGACCAGAACGCTTATTTGCTGCCCACTTACTCAGAGGCCCTGGGTATCAGCCAGATGAGTGCCCTGGGGAGCTGGACGAGCAGGGCACACAGCCTCAGCAGAGAGCTATCAGCACCAGCACTCTCCATGGTCATAGGACTGTTTCCCCCGGGCCAGGGTGTAGGCTAGACACAAGCAGGTATTTACACGCCAGTGCTGGTGGGAACAGGCCCATCCTGCTGACAGCACCTGTCCCTTCCTCTACTGAAAAGGCTGACTTGGCCGGAGGAGCCAGGAACAGTCCAGTTTCCACTTGAGCTGCCTGGAAGAAAAAGACGAGGAAGGCACTACAAGCCATGCAACCCCCTAAGAGCTTTTTTGGCTTCCCTGGTTTGGCTTCTGACCTGCAGAAGGACAGACCTGAGTGAGGGCAGGCAGACACCCAGCCAGCCCCATGGGCCTACCTGGCAGCTTGCCCTGCATAATCAATGTCCCGAGGACAGACCTGACAGTAGCCGGGATCAGAATGCCCTGAATACAGGTGTGTGCAGAGAGGGTAAAGAGTTCCTGTGGTTAGACTGGGCTGGACACACTCTGGTCAGGGCGCTGGGGCCGGTCCTGTGTGGCTGCCTCTCAATGAGGCAGTGGCCCTGGTAGCCAGCCTTGGGGTGCTCAGTTGGGTTCCCCCAACCTTTGCTCTCTCCCTAGGGTGTGGAGCGCATTGATGAGCCTGGCCTGCGGAGCCTGCGCACAGCAAGGCACCTGGAGCCGGGCATGGTGCTGACTGTGGAGCCGGGAATCTACTTCATCGACCACCTCTTGGACCAGGCCCTGGCAGACCCAGCCCAAGCCTGCTTCTTTAACCATGAGGTCCTGCAGCGCTTCCGCAACTTTGGCGGGGTGAGTACCTGGGGGCCCCACAGTCTCATCCCCAGAAGGTCCACTGTGGAGTGATGGATCCGCAGTCAGCAAGGCCAAGGTTTTCTTTATTCAGATATACCAGCCAAGTGCAAGCCAAAGGCAGCCCGGCCAGAGAGAGGAGCAGGGAGCAGGGAGCAGGGGCTCGCCACGTGTGCGCGGTCCCTTAAGAGCCCTTCCCGAGTCATCTTAGACTTCCCCTCAGCACGCCCTTTCGGGCGGGGCGTGTCCCGGCACACCTGTCCGGGCTACTAGGAGGCGGGGCTACAGTGTCTCCCTACAGTCCACCACCACTGTCGCCTCAGGGAAAGGCGGAAGGACAGTTGGCTGTGCTTAAGGACTGGCCAGCCCGCTTATGTGGGCTGTCACCAGACAGATACCTTGCCTCTCAACAGGAAGATTCTTCAAAATGCCCATCAGCCCCAGAAGCTCCATGAGAGCACACAGTACAATACAGAAAGGGCCTCCCTGTGTCTTTCCCCAGAGGCTTTGAGACCAGTCTGTCTTGTCACAAAGACTAGTCCCATCCCTCAGAAAGCTTCTCCCAGGTGGCACAGTCAGGCTGGACCAGGTTGGCACCACCAACATGGCAAATGAAGCCAGCATGGTCATAATGGCATCCTGTCTGTATGGCACAGGTCCGGATCGAGGAGGACGTCGTAGTGACTAACAGTGGCATGGAGCTGCTGACCTGTGTGCCTCGGACCGTGGAGGAAATTGAAGCCTGCATGGCAGGCTGTGACAAGGCCTTCACGCCCTCCTCTGGCCCCAAGGAGAGCCAGCTGTGATGTCATCCTGCCCATGGCGCCCCAACAGCAAGAGGCAGTGCTCAGCAATCAGATCCTGGAGCTCACATTAGATTTTACCAAAGCCATCACTGCCTTTCCAAGGGAGGACAGCATTTTACTAACCTGCGAGATCACATCCCTAACCTTGACTTTGCTTAAATGACTGACTCTAGTGCTGATTGAAAAAAAAAAAAATCTGTTCTTAAATCGCAACTTGATTCTCTTGCTGCCACTTATTTCCATGTGCTCAGGAAAGATGCACTGTGTCTGTCTTCTCCAAATAAAAATCAATAAGCAGAATGGAATTTGCAATAAAAGCTTTTCAAAATTGGCCCTTTGTGTCCAGCTTCCTCTTTACTCCTTCACAGAAGAGATCGAGCATGGGGACCAGGCCCCAGGGTAGGCTTTAGGAGTCTGTTCCCAGTGGTGGTGTTAGCACGGGGCCCAGTGCCCTCTGCTTCTGCCTTGGACTGGCTCGGGAGAACCAGGAAGTCCTCCACCAAGAGCTTTTACTGCCAAAGTTAGTGTGACACTGTCACCTGCTGCCAGGATTCCCAAGCAAACAGGCACCAGAGCCACTAGGGCATTTGGTAAGTTCCGGGGCCTTGATTTCATTTTTATACTAGTAAAGATAGAGCGT